CTCCCCCCTTATGTATATATGCTGGTTATGACCCAGGAAATTGACATCATGACCTACGGATCGTCTGGACCTAGTAGTCTTAGAAGATGTGCTGTGAGGGAGCCCACAGGAGGGGCCTGGCCCAGCTGTGAGGACAGCCCTTTCCCCTTTGGCCATTCCTCCTGTGGTCTCTAAAGCTTCGGGACAGTTCTGTCAGAATTTGGAGCCTGGTCTTGGCTGGGCCATGGGGTGGTTCAGGAGGGGCAGCCCACACTGAAGGGCAAATGAGAGCAGAGCCCCTTCTCTGAAGTGAGAGGGGCAGTTATGACAAGCCAGAGGGCAGGGAGCCTGGCATTTCAGCCTCTCCAGCAGCACACAGTAGGTGCTCAGTAAAGGTTTAAGGAAGCAAGAACAGGGGAGAGTGCCCTGGACTAGTCATAGGCTCTTCCCTGTGACCTGGGGCCTCAGTTACTCCACCTGCAAAATGAAGGCCTGGTCTCTGGGGGATCCCCCAGTAGAATTAAGAGACCACAAAGCTTGGAACTCCCTTGGGGAGTGGAGAGACCCAATGTGGCACCATCCTATGTGCTGTTTGGGCAAGGGTGGGGGCCCAGCCTGGAGCTCTTCTCCAGGCCAGATCACAAGATCCTGAAAGGCCACCGTCCCCCATGGGCTCAGAGTAAGGGACATCTTTATAGGTGTAATGTCACTCCATTGAGGCTGCAACTCCTCTGAGTGTTCGAGAACCATGTCAGGGGAGGGCTGAGGAAGAGGCTGGCAGGAGAGCAAGGAAGGCAGGTCTGGCGACAGTTCCCAAGCCTTTCCTCCAGGATGACATCAGCTTCTAAAATCCCTAGTCATGACTGGGGAAGCATGGCAGCTCCAAATCCCATCCCTGTTTAAAAAATCGGGCCTGAGTTGGTTCACTCACTCAACAGCTGTCTACTAAACTATTATAAGGCAGGCACAGCAGTGGGCGTGGGATGCCGAGATGTCCAGAGGTGAGGCCGCTGCCCTCCTGGAGCTTATGCTCTTAGTGGGGGACAGTCAATAAGTAAAGGAGACCCTATCCAAGAGTGACACATGCTCTAAGGGATTAAGAAGGCGTAATGGGATAGAAGGTGCCTGGGGTGGGGACAACTTTTGGTGGGTGGTGATAACAGGCCTTTTTGAGGAAATGGCATATGAGTTGAAATTGATGAAAAGGAATAAGGCCCCGTGCTTCCAAAATACAGATTCCCAGGACCCCTCCCACTAGACTTAACATATTAAGACACTAGACCCAGGGCCCGGGAATCTGCATTTTCCTTCCAAATGTTCCCATGTACATAAAACTGGAGACCTCCTGCCCTGGGCTTTTACTTTTAGAGAGGATCATACCGGGGGAACTTCAGGGTCCCTTCCAACTCCCAGAGCCTGTGTCAGGGAAAGGTTCTCACTGCGAGCGAGGGCCAGGCTAGGGAGAGGAGCAGGGTTCTGGTTGATGGCGGGACAGGACGCAGCAAATGAGCAAGCACAGCTGCTCACACACAAAAGGGAGAGCTCCCCAGGGCCCTCCTCTCTGGGGCCCGTCTGTCTTGCTTTGGTGCAGGCCCTCTCTGCAGACGTATTTCATGATCCCGGGCCTTGGGTCCCTTGCCTGCCCACCCCAGCCCGTCTGCCCCAGGAGTGATCTTCAGGCCGTGGGCGCGGGGCCTGCTTAGCAGCTGCCTGCCTGGGAGCGGGGGTTACAACCTGCCACAGCTGCTGCCACTGGGACACCCACTTGATGAGGGGGGAGCCATGGGTCTGTCAAATCCCCATTCTCTCCCAGCCTGTGTGCGTGTGTGTGTGCGTGTGTGTGTGTGTGTGTGTGTGTGTGTGTGTGTGTGTGTGTGACACCCACTTGATGAGGGGGGAGCCATGGGTCTGTCAAATCCCCATTCTCTCCCAGCGTGTGTGCGTGCGTGTGTGTGTGTGTGTGTGTGTGTGTGTGTGTGTGTGTGTGTGACACCCACTTGATGAGGGGGGAGCCATGGGTCTGTCAAATCCCCATTCTCTCCCAGCCTGTGTGCGTGCGTGTGTGTGTGCGTGTGTGTGTGTGTGTGTGTGTGTGTGTGTGTGTGTGTGTGTGACACCCACTTGATGAGGGGGGAGCCATGGGTCTGTCAAATCCCCATTCTCTCCCAGCCTGTGTGCGTGTGTGTGTGTGTGTGTGTGTGTGTGTGTGTGTGTGTGTGTGTGTGACACCCACTTGATGAGGGGGGAGCCATGGGTCTGTCAAATCCCCATTCTCTCCCAGCCTGTGTGCGTGCGTGTGTGTGTGCGTGTGTGTGTGTGTGTGTGTGACACCCACTTGATGAGGGGGGAGCCATGGGTCTGTCAAATCCCCATTCTCTCCCAGCCTGTGTGCGTGTGTGTGTGTGTGTGTGTGACACCCACTTGATGAGGGGGGAGCCATGGGTCTGTCAAATCCCCATTCTCTCCCAGCCTGTGTGCGTGTGTGCGCGCGCGCGCGCGCCAGGGAGCAAGAAAAACCTATGGCTGCTCTTTAACCCCTTTTCACATCCCCTGCCCGTGCGCAGGGCCCTCCTCCTCTGGCCTCTGTTTCCCCATCTGTTCCATAGGAGGAACCCCGGGGATTTCTCGGGGCGCGGAGAAAGGGGTAGGGGAGGTTGGCTTTGAAAGAGCTCTCCTCTGGGCGCCTGGCCTCCCTGGTGCTCCCGTGGAGCCCGCGAATTTCCGCCGCGGCACGTGCGGTCGCCGGCCTCCGGGGCGCCCCGGCGCGGGGGTCACCGTGTCAGCGCAGGGAGGGGAC